CATACCCTCAATCTCTTCTTTCACCAGATAATGCAAAGGTTAAGAAATGCAGTAATTAATTTCCCATCATTACCAATGCCATCCTGGAGATACTTCTGCTGGCTTTTGAATTTATCAATACTCTGAAAGCAAATATTTCCACTTTTTGCACTAAGGCAGAGATTGCCAGGCACTGACAGTTTTATCCATGATGCAGGTCACTAGAAAGGGTTAATCGGCCAGGAGTACATACGGTTTAAGAGCATGAGTGGGAGTGAGACAATAAGAACAGAGTTGGACTCAACTTCTTTGCATTCTCCCCCACAGCTCCTTTTGGAGGGTGTTTCAGGGACAGGCTGTGAGGAATGCACACTATCTAATCTGCATGTATAATGTAAATATGCACATTTTTATTTGCTCTCTCCATCTGCAGGGAACTTGCTGGCATCAGAACAGCCATGTGGTCTCACAGCAAAGTTTCCTTGTAAGAGGAAAGGAGGAGACTTATCAAGGCTGCTTGGTCTCTGTCTCATGCATACTGTGCAAATGGGTGCACAAAGTCTGTCCTATTCACACCTTCACATCTCTGCTCTTTGATCTCAGGACCTTGGGAAAAAAAAAAAAAAAAAAGCTGTACTGGGGTCCTTATGGGGAGCTGGTTCATTGCCTGAGCTGGAAAATCATTGTGGAGGGAAGGAAGAGAAGAAATTGTACTTGGCCAACCTTAAATGATCATATTTAAACCAATTTCTCTAGCAAAGCAGAAAGTTAAAAAATAATGAATATTTAGGATAGGACAAATAGTCTTCATCTTTTGGAGCAGACAAAATGAAATGGAGGCAAATTCAAGAATGCTAAGCTTTCAGCATGAGGAAATCAAAATGTTTCATCTGAGTTGTCAAAATAAAACGTCTAGGCTGTATGTTTTGCAGGTTTTTTTCCTGTTTGCATTTGAGGCAAGTTGAGTAATTTGCAGATTGACTACAGCAGCCTGATTCTGCATTTTTGCCAAAAAAAAAAAAAAAAAAAAAAAAAAAAAAAAAGAGCTCCATTGTGGCCTTCTGAACAATGCTCATTACACTGACTGGGAAGCAGCAGCAGCAGCTGGAGTCGCTTGCCCTATCATCAATAGCTTGCAGTGCTTGAAGTTCTGGCTGCCCTATAAATTTTCTATCTCCCGACTGGCTGAAATATCTGACTTTGTTCTGCAAAACACTTTGGACTCGGGTTACTTCAAATCAGGGAGAGGTGTTGCTGTGCAGAAGCATAGAAATTTGCACAAAGTCACCAGAATCTAATGAAAAGTTCCTTCCTAATGTCTTTCAAGAACATAGATTGGCCTTTCCATGGATTTTTTTAAAGGCATGACCGAGTCAAAAGCATTTTTAATCTATTTTCCTTATTGTTCCACAGCATGCATGCATATTTGTGTGAGGTATTTGGGTGTACGTGGTAGTGACAGTATAAATATTAATAGCACAAGGGTGAGAATACATGTGGCCCTCAAATGAGGTTATATAAACACACAGCTGCTGCGCTATTTGTAAATTTATAAAGACACATTTCCATCAAGAGTGTGAAAGTCAAATAAGTGTGCAGAGAGAGAGCGAGCACATATGTTTCGTAAACTGCACAAGAAGCCTATAGAAATTACGTGGTGCTCCTTAAATCCCAGTCCAACTGAGGTCAACTGGAGCTGTGTCACTGACTTCAGTGGGATCAGGACTTGGCACAGTACACTTGCTGTGATTTCCCTGGATAAAGCAGATTGAGCTACTGGAGAAACAAAGGTCACACTCCTATCACAGTAGCAAAAGTGCTGATCCCTTGTGGCTTGCTGACATCTGAGCCCGATGGGGATGATGAAGCAGTGTAACACCCCACGGAAAAGAGCGTCCAACTTTGCCTCCTGCAGACTCTGCTGTCGGTGGGGAAACAGTCTCTGGATAGGGCCATGAACAAGGAGGAAAGAATGTCTGTGTTTGGCTCCCTGCATTCCCCTACACACCAAGCTCTGCTAGAGAGGGACAGTGATGGTGCATCAGCCAGGCCAACAAAAAAGCATCGCTTGTGTGTTTGAAAGGGTGATATGTCGACAGTGTACAGGCCAGATCTGTGGATTCCCAGACAGTCCCAGTCGTGCAGCTTGCACTCAGAGTCTCCCCAGAGAGGTTTTGTTAGACTGCATTCTAAAGGACAGGAATTGATGGGTCTAAGGTTTCGTCTCATGGACAAGATGGAGCATGAAAGGGGAGGAGTCAGAGGCAGGAAGATTTCCAGCACAAAAAAAGAATTTAAATAGATTAAGAAATTAAAACCTCCTCATTTTCTGGGACTCAGGTTTTGAGGTGCAGTATTACATTTTTCCTACTGCAGCAGATGCTAGTCAGACCCCAGTGGCAAGTCTAAGATCCTTATTTGGGCTCACAGAATTACCTTGGTCAGGATAGGAGCCTTTGAGTCAGGGACATCTTCCTAAGAGGCGTTTCTCAGCCTACTGCAATGGAGCAAGTCCATGCCTGACTCGGATAAAGGCCTGGTCATGTGGATGTCTGTTTGAACCTTCTTCACATTCTGTATGTCCCCATGTTTGGTAGAAGTGCCCTAGGAGAAGCTCATGAGAAACTATTCCATAGCCTTCCTGAAACAGCCTACCTCATGGGAAAGGTGTTTTTGCTTTTGTAAGGTCACTGATGCTTTAACAATTGGGCCAAAATGTAGTCACGTAGTCATCCAACCCTGGGAGGACAGTTTTCATGGGCACCAAAGGCCAGGATTCCTCCATTCCCAGCTTCTTTACCAAGGTGTCTGAGTTGGTATAATGTTGGCCTGGAATCCCTGGGTACCCAGTGAAGGGGTACAGGCATGACCAGACAGCAATTCAGACCTTAGGTGAGCTAAGGAAAGTGGGTTGAATCCAAGCTTCATTCTGCCTTTGACCGGGAAAACTTATCTTCTAATGGTCTAACTTTGTCCTCAGTGGAGGGCATCCGTCTGGGGGAGGGACTATGCAACAGGTGGGGTTATAAATGTGTACCGGAGTGCATTGCACACTCACCTCCCTCTGCAGACAAGACCTTATACTGAAATGAGAATAAGAACTTTACAGGTAATTGAATTTTCGGTTCACTAGCAAGAACACTTCTTTTCTGTGTTGTTTTTGACTGGTTATTTTCAGCCAAAAGTAAAAGAAAAAAAGCATCTTGGTTTGAGCAAAACATTTCTTTTGTCCTTTTATAAGAAGTAACAGCTGGGTTTTGAGCACACCTTTCAAAATAAAATGGAAGGCAATTTCTAACCAAACTAAATTTACAAAGGAAAGATCAAAATATTTTGTTTGAAAGTGATAAAAATAAACATTTAGATTCGAATAATAAATTCAATGTCAAAGTGAAGTTTCTAAATTCCCCCTCCAGCCTCTGAGAAGGATTCAGTGAAGCAAATATAAATTTGCAAAAAGTTTCTCTTACCAAATCTGCATTGCCCATTGAAACAAAACAATCCCAAAATGTCTTTCTGATCTAAAAATGATTCTACAAATTCAAGAGATCAGGCAGCTGTTTCTTGGACACAGCGCAGAGCTTTTTTAGCTAAAGTTTCAGCGAGTCACCCCTAGGCTTTACAGGAACGTCTCTGTTGAGTGATCATGATTCCTTTGTAATTTAGTCCATAAGAATATCCTGCTAATGCTCTCATAGACAAAAGATAGTCACCTCATCCAGATTGCAGTATGAGAGCAACCTGGGCTTGATTTATCGTACCTCTAAGTTACTTGTATTTGTTCCAACCAACCGACTGGCTTTTGCTATATTTAGTTTCAATGTAGGGACAAGGGCTGAAGGGAGTGGTACAAATTTTACAGGAATGTTTTGTATTTTACCCTAAGCGTTTCTTTCTTCCATATGCAAAATATGAGGGAGAGGGTGGGGAGAGAGAGTGTTTTTCCAGACTAGTGCAATTGTGCAAATGGAGAAGCCATGTGGATTTTGCAAAGGAGGACTGGGGATGAGTTATAAAGGCATGGCAGATGTTGATCTCCCAGTCTGCAGGGTGGAGGGAGCACCACTGGCCATCGGTCAGCAGCAAGCACTCTTCTGGGTGCGTAACACACCAACAGGTGGGTATGGACGAGAAAAGCCTGTCAATGGAGACTTCAACTGACCTGCGGGCACGCACAGAAAAAAAACAATCTCTCAGTATCCTCTAACTCATACATCATCACGGACACCTCACATTGCCTTGCTTGGCTTGGGATTTGAGAGCGCATGGAGGGAAGGAGCCACTGCCTGATCTGAGCCAGCTGATCTGCAGGCGACTGAGCGACGCTGGCAGAACTGCTTTTCTCACTGCCTCATCGTCCTCAACGCCGTTCTTCAGATGTGTACTTAGCTCAGCTGGACGGCCTGGCCCGATGCACTCACTCCATCATTATCCAGACAGGAATTTCGAAAGCGGCTTCAAATGCCTGTGATTGTGCACGCGTTAGGTGGCAATTTGCTGTCTGGGGCGCCACGTTGCAGTCAGCAGGACAGCAGCTCCCCTCGGACAGGCGAGGGGTGTGCATGTGTGCATGCTCCTCCTTTGGCTTCTTCCTGTCCTTTCCTGGCTTTCTTCCTTCTTCACTGGAGAACAGCCTGTGGCAAAGCACGATCACTAAACTCTTTCCCCCAGCCCTCTCTGAATACATTTGATAGAGGAGATAATTTATCTCTTTGAGTATGAACTCAAGAGCTTTAGAGGTTGAAATATTTGCCTAGTTTTAGATGTGTAAACACCTGAAATACTTTTTGAGTCATGAGGTCAGGGATATAAAGAGGACTGTGTGTTACCACTGGTGAAGATATTCTGGATTTACATCATCGCACTGAATGCAGTGCACTGATTTTTCCTCCCCTACGCAGCCTGCAGGGAGGTGTCTTTTTACATGGGGCCATCAGCCTGGCAGCTTCCATGAGCTTTGCTGAGCTGATGCATGAGTGATGTTTTCTGCTTGGAGTTGGTGCTGGTGTGAGCTGGGGCCTGACCTTAGTGCCACTGTTCGGACAAGAATCCCCTCTGATTTCTTCCAGGCATACTCTGTACAGACTAATCAAAGGACCCTGGCTGCTGTCCCTCTGATGCATGGACTTTTCACTTTGATTTTCCTCTCCCGTCACACATGGAGCTGCCAAGCATCCAGGCTGTGTGATTGCATATTCCCCAAATCCCTCCACAATGGATATTAATCTGCTCTGCTGTATTTCACTCTGATTTCCTTCAGTAAGCACTGGGCTGGTGCACAGGGGAAGATGAAAGGAGGCATCATGCAAAGTCAGGCATGACCCCTAGAAGCAGTAGGGGCTCAGCAAGGATGGGGCTGTGCTGGGCTAGACTGGGAGTGCTGCGTGAGAGGCAGACATGGGTGCAAACACTCAGACTGATGAAGAATCACATGAAAGGTGCCTTCCTCAACAGGGAAATATGTAGAGTTTTGGGGGAAGGAGAAGTGTTTTCCCCAAAGGGCAGCTCGTGTTGTTGTTAGAGAAAGTCATTGATGGTTGAGAAAATTGGTAAATCCTCCAAATGAACAAGAATGT